AGTGCTAGGTGAGATACACATAAATTTTTATGACATTGTGATGTTGCTTTCTTGTCCCCCAAGTGCATGAAAAAGAACCATTAATTGTTGATGCATAGAGGGCATATGCATCTAATATCTACTTTTATATTCCACATGCGATTTGTTCCTCTTTCTCAATATATTTATATATAAATCCATCCCTCGGATATCTGTTCTGCAAGTGTTATATCTAGTTTTTGTTTAATTTGACAAACAGGTAGAAATTGAAAGTTAGTCTGTATTATATAGATATGTTTGTGAAGTCTCTGTACTCTGTAGTAGCTTATATGTTTTAAAAGTAATAAAAAGTTATCACTTTTTATTTTATACTCCCTCCGTCGCGAAAACAGCTTCTTGCTTTTGACTTAAGTACATTTTTGTGAAAAGTTAAAGCGGGAGTTGACTTTCCCATGACACCCTTAGTTAATGTCAAATCAAATAAAAAGTAAGTAAAATGTAAGGATGGTTTTGATATTTTGTACTGAAATGTCAGTTTTTATGGAAAGGTGATGTTTACTTTGGGACATCCAAATAAGGAAAGTGGGAAGTTGTTTGGGGACGGAGGTAAATATTAAAAAGAGATGGATAAATAAAATGTTATCTCTCTCCTGTCCAAAACACTATTGTCTTTTTGTGTTCTTTGGAGAATAAGCCAAATAGACAATTCAAAAATATTATTTATGTGTAAGTAAATTGTACAGTCCGTTTTATTTAATTTTTGAATATATATTATATATCTTAATTACATAAATAATTTATTATTATATATATATTTAATATTATAAATTACATATTGCAATGGAGGCAAGCCGTAGGCTCAACTCAAGAAAGGGAAGAGTGAAATGGATTATTCCTATGGTAAATACTTACCACTTTACTTTGTATGTCATTTTTACTTTCATTTGTGTAGCACCAAGTCGAATACCGTAATTCCTGATTAGTAATTATGTTATTGGTCTAACTTGTAGTCTCGAATGCAAGTTAGGAGTTATGAATGTGGTCATTATGTGATGTTGCATATGTTGAATATTGTTTCGGCGGTAATTCTTGAAATGTGGGATGAGCTACATTATTATTTTAGTTACATTCAATAGGTTTGCTCCATGTAATGTTTTTTAATAAGTTTCTTATTTAATTTGTAGCGATTCGTCAATCCAGAACCATTCTCATCAGAAGAGATTGATGGAGTACGAACTCGTTGGGCATCATATTTCTTAGAAATGATGCAATCCATCGACGACACATGAAGAACATGTTTGTTTAAGTTTTAGAGTGGTGATGAGACTTGTAACTTTATACAATGTGTTATTACTCTAGACTTGTGCAAGGATTGTTTTATTTTAGCTTATTATGTACTAAGTTGTTATTTGAACTTGTTTAACATTTGTGGAAGAATTGAAAAATAGTTTGTATTGTTGTTTTAGATGGATCAAGTGAACAAGTGAAAAATTGTGCTATAGTAGTTGATGATACTGTTAATGATGTGATTATAGTATAAACGGGGGTTATATTGCAAAATTTTTCCCTGAAAAATACCGAAAAAATTGAAGCTTTTCACATCAGTTGTAAAATAACCGGTTTGATTGCTTTTCTACATGGGGTATAACCGATGTGAAACACATATGTTTCGGAAAAAATGAAGCTTTTCACATCGGTTGATAAAATGACTGATGTGAAATCTTTTCTACATGGGTTATAACCGATGTGAAAAACCTGTGCTCCGGGAAAAATTGAAGCTTTTCTACATCAGTTGTAAAATAAACGATGTGATATCTTTTTTTACATGGGTTATAACCGATGTGAAATATCATTAAAAACGCCGTTTTGGGATATCTTCTAAATCGGGCACTGAACGACCGATGTAGAAAGAATTTCCACATCGGCTATTTGACAGATATGAAAAGTCAATACTTTTCACATGGGCTGGAACCACATCAGTTGTTTGACCGATGTGAAAAGCCTTTTTTGCCCGATGTGAAAAGCCTTTTTTGTACTAGTGTCAAAGGCTTTGACTACTACTATTTTTCCCAAATAAATAATGACCTACGAGTTGGGTATTTCCCAGAGTATAAAAGTACTGATATGTATTTTATAACTTGGGGTAAAGGAGTATAAGTATATGTATCACCATATGTTTGGGTCTTATACTTGAAAAGTTAGTTATTCTACATTTAGCTTGCTACTCGCTCGGTACTTGTACTGACCCATTCGGGGCCCCCACCATTTCATGTTGAAGCTAAAGGATGTTGTCTACACCTTTGCACTAGTGGAAAGAATCTAGAGGAAGACGCGGTTCGTGCTTCCATTACTGTTTTAAAATTATAAACTATGCTCATGGATACTTTTGTAATATTACATTGTTTTAGGCCTGCGAGCCTACGTTTTGCCATATGTGGCTTATGATTGACCGTTGAATATTTTCCGTTATTCATTCAATCTATGATGTGATGTTGTTATGTATGTTTACTTACTGAGTATGGTGTGAACGATGTTCATGAACGCCTTGTGTGATTAAGTGAGGTTGACTTGCGAGTGACGTCACTTGATCACACGACGATTGTACACACGCTTAGATGCGGTCTGGGGCGTGACATCAACCCTGACTAGTAACCCGCGTTGTGGCCAGTGGTCATGGTTGACGAGAACCCTAACAATTGTTCCATTAGTTGCCATTGTTGTAGCCCTTCAAACCTTAGTTGGGAGCCACTATTGGCGACGACCAAGTTAGCGAGAAACCGAAAACAACAACTTTGTGTGCTAGCAGAGAAGATGACAACGATTGGTTGTTTCGAGATCTACTGGCCGGCGAAGAAGAAGAAGAAGACGATTATGAAACGTTTACCGCTGTGTACAAGGTCTGTCATCGCCCCGAAGAGATCCATCATTGTCATCTTAGACAAAGAGCTATGTTGCTTTCATCGTTGAAGAATACTTCAACATTTCAAACGTACATTTGACATGAATGAAATTTAGTCATCTTAGTCACTTTTTTGACATGAATGAAATTTAGTCATCTTAATCACTTTTTTGACATGAATGAAATTTAGGATGTTTTTACTTCAGACCAAAATAGATCAAATAGACCAGGTCAGACTAGACTTTGACAATTGTAAATTACATAAAAACTAGACATCTATCAAACCAGATCAGACCAAAAAAATATAGTCCAAGTAAAAACATCTTTAATCCCGTTTTTGTTTAATCAAAAGTAGAATGCCTTATTTTTGCCATTTTTTCAAAAAAGAAATGGCCTACTTATCGATGACTTTCTCTGGTATATATACGTAGTACACACATTACAATATTCCCTCGCAAAATTTTCACACTTTCCCTTTTGGATCGTCTCAAAAAATTGTTCTCGTTTTTTTGGAATGTTTTGTGTGGTTAACATTCATTTAGATTTTTCTTATTTAACTATAACTATACATTTAAACTTTATTCTCACTTTCTTAAATTACGAATCAAGTCAAACCAAAAAATATTTTGGAGGAGTAAAATAGAAGGCAAGATTAGGGGTGGGTAAAAATATCGAAAAATCAGTATACCGCACTTACAGTACCGAAAAATACTGAAAAATACCGGAACATTGGTATACCGTCATTTTCGGTACGGTGTCATACCGTACCGATTTATTTCGGTAAGGTAACGGTAAATGTTTTCAAATACCGCGGTATACCGGTATAATACCGTACCGACTCCCTACCCAACAATTACTTTAAATTCTAAAATATTGTAGAAGTTCATTACAATTTTGAAGCCAAAAATTAATACTTAGGTTGTTTACAAATACTAAAATACAAAAATAAAAAGCCCAATTTCTCAAACCCACTATAACCTTCTAGGTTTTTCTACTACATAACATTTAAACAAAATAACCCTAATGACTAATGAAGTAATGATGAGTAATGTACTAATGTCCAAAAACTAATCCATCTTCACGATGGTTGAGCCGCTGAGTAGCTGACGAGTGAAGACGGACACACTTATGTGACGGGTGTATCTAAATAAGGATTCCACGAGTCGAGTCACACAACTTTGTCCGAAAGTCTTATTCAAATATTTTTTAAAAACTATATAAATGACTAAATAAACAATATCATATTAGGGATAAATGATTTTATATCCATGTTGTTTGAATAATTTTATTTATTTTTGTTAGAGATCACTATTCATATAATTATATTTATATTGTTCAAGTTATTTTAGGAGAATGTGTTGTTTTTTAATACGTGACATGTTGAATTGCTTAAATATACTAATAATAACTATTGTTCAATATTGAATATGAAATCGATAGATTATTAATTGTATTTTGTAACATTCTAATAATGGATTAAATATGTCGCTAGTAACACCGATTTAGTATATTTTGTTAATCTATGACAATTTGTTATATTCGGAAACACACATGGTAATTTACTAATACTGTACCGTTACCGAACCGAAACTTTGGTATACTGAAATGCGATATACCGAAACTTCGGTAAAATAATGATATATAAATTTTGTATATCAAAAATTTTGATAAGACAAAGATAGAAGAGAAAATATTCCTTACCAAACAACCTGCAGGCAAGATGAACTACGCAACAAGGAAAGCGAGCATAAGAAGACAAAATAGCAAGGCTGTTTCTTGTGTAGTTGACAAGTTGTGCTGCATTATATGGCACGTACTACTGTTGCTTGCTAGCTATAACCATTGGGAAATGACGCTCTTCTCCCTGCATTCATTTTCTTTCAATTTTTATATTCCAAAATATAAAATGTCCAAGAATATTTTATTTTAGATTTTCGATTTCCGTGTCAAGCAAGGATCCATCATCCATTCTAATCCCCGCTTGCTTAACCGACGGGCAATAACATCCCAGCCCCGCCCGTCTCTTTCTTTCCTCTCTCTTTCTGTATTTTTTTATGTTATTATTATTATTTTAATATATTTTGTCCCTATTTTATTGATTTAATTCGATTTTGGGCTGCGGTTTATATAGCACATTTTTCACCATATCCTCCGGCTTTGCTTCGCTCCCAATCCTCACAAATCTAACTTATCTTGCTTTGAGTTGGAAACGATGGAGCAACCCCAATCGGTGCAGGACGGAGGAGCGGTGGCGGTGCCTCCGGCGGTGCCGAAACCGATGGTTAAGGCGCCGACGTCGCTCGCCCCTGGGTTCAGGTTTCATCCAACGGACGAAGAGCTCGTCAGGTACTACCTCCGCCGCCGGGCTTGTGGCAAACCTTTCCGCTTTCCGGCCGTGTCTGAAATCGACGTCTACAAATCTGAACCCTGGGAGCTTGCAGGTTTGTATCCGGTTTTGTCGCGACTATTTCTTTATTTTTGTTCTTTTGCTCTGTTTTTCGAGTGCTTTTTTTGTGGGATTTTTTTGTGCTGCCCTACAAATCCGAGGCTCTGTTCCCGCCGGATCTGTGGGATTTTCTTGGGTTACCAGCGCTGATTATTTACCTTTGTTTTTCTCCGAATTTCTTGAGCCCTCTTCAAGCTTTTTTGAGATAACAGTACGGATAATAGTAAAAAATGAGGACAGATTTTAATGACTGAAACTAGATTAGTTTCACCAGTTGAAGAAATAGAAATGTAGTTACTGTAAAGCGTTGAATGAAAAAGAAAGATGCCGACATGGTTTAAATGCTGTAAAGTTTCAACTTAAGTTAATTGCAATTGTTTGTATCGTTTTTTGGGTCAAAGGTTCAACTTTTAATACTTTTTCTTAAAGGCTGATTCTTGTATTCGGGTGTTCAGGGAAAAAAGAATGAAATAGATACATAGCTGTTGGAATGAAATAAAATTTATGTCTTTATGGTTTCAAATGTGGTAAAGTTTCAACTTTAGTATGTATTGTCACAGTTTGTATCATTTTAAGCGTCAGAGGTTCAATTTTTAAGCTTTGTTTGAAAAAAAATGATCTTTCTAAGTGGTTGAGTCTTCTTTTCAGTAAAAAGGAGTGAAAAGGAAAAGGAAAAAGTAAACCTGTGGCTGTTGGAATGAAGTAACAATGATGTTTATATGGTTCAAATGCTGTCAAGTTTCAACTTTTGTAAATTGGCACTACTTGCATCATTTTTTGCATCATAGATTCAAACTTTAATACTAAAAAATGTTGATTCTTTTTCTAGGTTGTTTAGACAAAAAGAAAAAATAGATATGTAGTGGTTGGAATGAAATAAAAATGACGGGAATATGATCCAAAAGCTATAAAGTTTCAACTTCAGTAAATTGGCACTGTTTTGTATCATTCATAGGTCAAAGATTCAATTTTTAACACTCTTTCTTAAAAAAATATTTTTAAAACGTTGAATCTTCCTTTCAGTTGCTCAGCAAAAAGGAAAAGAATAGATATGTAGCTGTTGAAAAGAAATAAGAATAATGTCTATGCAGTTGAAATGGTGTAAAGGTTCATCTTTTTAAACTGGCATGATGTATCATTTTAGCCTCAAAGATTCAGTTTTAAGACAAAGAAAACACTACTTCCGTCCCAAATCAAGAGCAACAAAACATTGGGCTCGTAGATTAAGGAAATGGGATAAAATACCTAGACTACTCTATCTTTTTACTGTAGCAGTTAAGAAGTAAGTAAAATTGAAATGGAAAAGTTGTTATTTAAGTAAAAGAAAGGGTAAAGTATGAATGATATGTAAGATCATTTGTAAAAAAAAAAAACGTAACCTTTTCCGAAACAGGCAAAAAAAGAGATAGGTAACTCATATTTTGAGACAGAGGAAGTGTTTTTTAATGTTGAATCTTCTTTGAGTGTTTAGAAAAAAAATAGATGGGAGACGTATATATGTTGCACTTCGCAGGCATATGCACATGGTGTAGAAGATCTGTTATATTATCACTGATATCCGCTGCTATGAAAATGTCAAATTTTCTCTTTTTGTATATGATTATGTCTGATATTAGATGATTATATTGTTGGTTGAGTTTGTATAAGCTTTGAATCCAAAAACAAATTTAACATAATCTAAAAAATCAACTTCTGCATTGCAAAGTAAATGTGAGTTCCGCTTCAGATGAGAAACACTACTCTTTAAATCTTGAAGTATCTACATCAGGAATATTTTAGATATGGTGTACATTTTCACTTTATTCCATATGAAGTCTGTTTGAAACTGAGGAAGTAGCCGTTTTAATATGTGTTTAATTGTTATTCCATTCAGACCTCGTTCTTCCAAACAAATTATGAACGTGAGTTATATATGCAGCAGTATTTTGTGACAATTTTCTTGATTTCTCAGTGGCTATAGAATGGCTAATTTATCTTGTCATTCATAATATGCAGAATATTCATATCTGAACAGTAGAGATCAAGAATGGTACTTTTTTAGTCCTGTGGATAGAAAGTACGGAAATGGGTCTCGGCTGAACAGAGCAACCGGTAAAGGTTATTGGAAAGCTACAGGGAAAGACCGCCCTGTCCGCCATAAGTCTCAGACTGTTGGAATGAAGAAAACACTTGTCTTTCATTGTGGACGAGCTCCTGATGGTAAGAGGACAAATTGGGTAATGCACGAGTACAGACTCTCAGATGCAGAGTTAGTGCAAGCTGGGGTTGCACAGGTAAAAAACGTACTATTCATTTACAGAGTAATGTATGTCTCAGAAAACGAAACTTTTGGCCTCTGAATTATGCAGAAATAGTATATTTAGTCCCTTAATAAGTAGTTCAACCACTTTTACTTCTTGACGTGCCATTACTGTGCTGTTTTTAGTTCCTCATATAAGAGAATTTTAATTCACGATAGTAATTATTTAAAATTTTAAACCTCTATTTTTTGTATATTAACTATTAAGATATTAAGATAATAGCATACAATTGTAAGCAAATGCTTATAGATTCTACATTTCAAAAAACACTAATGTACCTCAAACGATCAAATTTGCCAACCTTGTATTTTTGAAATATTAAAAAAATATATAGACAAATGACTCGATTTTTAGCATTATTACTATATTGTGAATTGATAATTATAGTTGCTACATTTCAGGAGAATCTAAGATGTCATTTGTATTTGATGAAAGAAAAAGTCAATTTCTCACAATCATACATAAAATAGGATATGTGACATGTAAATTTACACTGAAGTCACTACCTTAAGGATACTTTATGGACCAAAATCAACATCACTAATATTCGGAGAACGAAATCTACTCTTTCGGTATTTCCCCATAATTGAAGGACTGAAACTATCTTTTTCTCCTCTATATATCTGGCATATGTTATACCACTTATAGAGTCGAGAATCTCAAGTGATATTTTTTTGTTTGTGTTGGTTGGTGAGGGAAAAGAATGCATTTGTGCTGTGTAGAATTTTCCAAAAAAGCGCTTTGGGACCTCCTAATGGGGACAGATATGCACCTTTTGTTGAGGAAGATTGGGATGATGATTCGACTCTTGTAGTTCCCGGAGAAGTAGCTGAGGATGATATGACCAATGGTGATGATGCACCAGTTGAAGGCAACAACCTTTTCCAGGTTTGTTACTTCAATCAGTCCATTCTTTCTTCATTGTTGTTGCCATTCACATTCCTTTTAACTGTCATTAATCATGTTAGTTTGTTACCAAACAACAAAAAGTGATGACATGTTATCTTTTCTGTTATGGGGAATTTTTTCACTCACTCTTTTGTATTATTTTCAAATTCTAAACAATAAAGAATGATTGGTAGGTCTCTTCTGTATATATCATTTATATTCTAAATAAATTCTTAAACGAGAATCCCATTTTTAAAAAATAATGAAATCATCAAGTTCTTGTTTCCATCCATTTTTTAATTTCTTTTTGCGTTTGCTCAAAACGAAAATAGAAAAATTGGATACAAAAGCATTAAAAATGACACCTAGCTGTGAATTTTTATTTTTACTTTGAATTGAGGTCCCTGTGTGGCTGTGTGCATTTTTTGCCACAAAGCATACGCGTAAGTAATTACTGCACTGGTGGCAGCTGCTAGTAATCTAATGCTAATTGATGGGGAAAATAGTCCTACAGATTACTGAACTGGTCTAATCAAGGATGATAGTGTAAGACACTGTTGAACATGTGCATGATTTTGGATTGAGGGGAGTGAGTTTAGTAAAGAACATAAATTGATGGGATTGATCAAACGTGGTTTGGAGATCACAACTTTAGTAAATTGATGAAAGGAGTGATTGTTCTCTTTTTTGGAGTGTTATTTTAAGGGGCAGTGCCATCCCCATTTACTCCTAGTTTACGCTGAGGGGCGAAAATACTTGCAAAGATGTTTTTTAAAGGCTCAGTTTTATCGTAGAAACTAGAAAGCAAGGAGAATCAGATTTGATTCAATATTTTAAAACTATATAGACATATACATGTATATATATATGTATTATTTATATTATAGAAGTTTTAAATTAAAATGAGTTTGTACAAGTATTTTTTTGACAAAAAGTTTGTACAAGTATTTGAAATTGATCAATGTTGTATTATTTTCAACCACATTTTCTTTTTATCCATTTTTATCCATCTTTCCTCTCTATTTCTTTTTCCTAGCAATTTCCCTATTCAAAGCGGACCCTTGGTAGGTGGGGGGGATACTACGCGAAATGTTTTTAAAGGTTTGGTTTTATTTTAGGAAATAGAAAGTATAATCATTTTTTAAATTCTGATTAGTTTTTATATGTATATGTTTATGTTTATTATTTATATTATCAAAAAAAAAATTCAATAAAATTGAGTTTTTTTACAAACATTTGAAGTTGAACTATTTTGTTTGAAGCAACTTTTTATTATTATAACCAACCAAAATTCTTCTTCATCCAATTTTCCTCTATTTTCTTTGCTAGCAATTTCCCTGTTCCAAACAGGTCCTTTGTAAATTACTTATTGGCATGCCCTTGATATGCTGAGGTTTGCAAAATGTTCTCATAGTTGCAGGGTGCTCTATTGAATGGTCCTGCGAGTCCAGTTATTGAACCATCACTGGCCCTTTCATTTGTTTGCAAGAGAGAGAGATCAGTGGAAGCGGATGAGAATCCCGAACCCCTTTCTTTGGCCCAAAGCAAAAGACACAAACGCGACGATGGTACCACCTCAAGCCATGCAAACGGTTCGGAAGACTCGACCACTACAAGTCGGGACCCACTGACCATGATGATGACGACAAACAATAATTCCCAACCTGCGCTCTTAGAATTCCCTTTGATGGAGAACCACCACCAATCTACCAATGTGCCCACTTTCGACTCCTCCACGCTCGAGAAATCCGTGCCTCCAGGTTATTTAAAGTTCATTAACAACTTGGAGAATGAAATTTTAAATGTTTCTATGGAGAGGGAGACATTGAAGATTGAAGTAATGAGGGCGCAAGCCATGATTAACATTCTTCAATCACGCATTGATCTCCTAAACAAGGAGAACGAGGACCTAAGAAGCGTTGCCGTGGGAGGGGCTAATAGCTTGTAGTCGAGTTTTGTAGGTTGGACTTCATCTTTGTCACACTTTTCATGTCTCGTTTGTTTGTTTGTCACATATTCTGATCGGTTGGCGTCTATTAATTAATTGATTTCAACCGATCAGGAAACATGGGATATCAACAAGGAAATGAAGAGGTGGGATTATATGGACATAGAGATTTCAATTCCCAATTGCAATTTTTTTCGTAATAAATTAATAATATCAACCTGAGATGGCATCATATACGGTCTTCAAAAATAGTGGAAGATAAGTATGGGGATGCCGGAGATGTTCTTATTTATACATGTCCACAACCTTAAATATATTTTGTGTTTTGTAATACTACGTATTGTTCTATGTACCAATAGTACATGAACTGATGAACCAATGTGATAATAGCTATAAATATTAGCACTCTATTGGAGTGTAGTTAAAGTAATTATCATTTTTGAACCTTTGCATTAAGACATTCACTTGGTCAGATTGTATATTACACGGAGAAGTACCTTCTTACCAAATATTTTAACTTCTGCGGAGCACTATTAAAAAGTTATTTTTATTTCTATGCATTAACTTTTATAATTAGTTTTCCAACATTTTTAATGGTGCTAAACACTCGCTGTTTTTTAGCTTAAGGATAAGATGGAATAAAGTAAAATGACTAGTTAAGTTATGTGTTTCTTTGTTCGCTTCTTCGTTTTGAAGTAGTAATTTATTCATGCAATTTTCAGTGTGATTTTTATCATGTGTCATTCAAAACTAGTCTTGTTTTAGAGTACAGTGGTAAGGTTGTGACTCCGCTTTACCCACCGTAGGTGAGAGTTTTTGGTGGACTATTATAAGTAGTCATTTTTTTCTATAATTTATAAAACATATCATTTCTAGATAAATCAGTGTATAACTAATATTCCCTTCGTCCCATAGAGAGGTTCCCGTTTCGATTTATGATGCTTGACTGACGATAAAGCTACTTGATCCATGTTCACACTCTGATTATTTTTAATAAATAAAATTATATATTCAGAAACTACATTAAAAATTTTACAAAAGTATAATCACGAAAATTTGAATTTGATAAAAAATTGATATATAAAGCAAAATATTAATAATGATTTAAGTTGACAATGTGAATAGGGACGAGAACATTTGAATGGGTCGGAGGTAGAACTACATTCTAAATTTTTGGAGGCTCCTACAAGAGTGGGTCTTAGGGGTGGGCTCGGGCTGGTTCGGGCCCGGGTCGGGCCTAGGCCCGATCAGGCCTCCGGTTTGTAAATGATGGGCCCGGGACTGGCCCAAGGTAAGGAGTAAGGACGGTTCCGGTTCGGGCCGGGCCACCTGCCCGGGTCACGGGTCGGGCCACCCGTCGGGTCGGGTAAATCCAATTTTTTATTTATTTATTTATTCTTTATAGTTTTATACAAGTATTAAAAACAAACTTAAAGTGCATTTATTTGAAATGAAATAGGAACTACATTTGACAATTGAGAAAAAAATACAATATGAAATACATTTTGTAATCAATCGAAATTTCTTGGTCCTTTGGCTTTGTCACATGACTTTATATGCTTCTTGGCCATCTCGTATCTGCGTGAAACTCCCAAGCTACATTTTTTCCCGCACCATTTGCAAGTTGCGTACCACATCCTGGTCCTCGGGTCCTTCTGCGTATAAAAATTATACGCGATAACGGCATATTGATTTTCCATCTTAAAAATGGTAGATATAATAATTCTATAAATACTAGAAAGTCTAGAATAGATGGAGATGAAGATGGAGAATGGAGATTGGAGATTGGATTTTGGAGAAGATGTGTATAAAAATGTTAGAAAATAGGAGTATTTATAGAAATTTTTGTACCTCCACCCCCACCCCACCCCCACAAATGGCTATATAGCCGTTTGGGTCTTTGAGGCTTGAGCCTTTGATTTCAATTTTTTTTTGTTTATTTTAGTTTGAAATTTTTGAATAAATTACATAATGTAAAATTAATTAATTTGAAAAGTGCTACATATAAAAAAAATGAACGTATGTTTATTAGAATTTAGAAATATGAACTACAAGTTTACAAGTTACAACTGAGAATTGAAGGAAAAATTAAAACATGAAATACTAATCAATCAGAATCTCCAGCATAGGTAGAGCCACCCTCGGTTGATTCATCCATAAAGTTTTGGGATGCGGTGATGCCAATTTCTTGAGCTCTACGAGCCGCCTTCAAGTCTTCAACCAATCATGGTAGCATATAAGCGTCTCAAGAGATTCTGCGATCAACCTCGTTCTAGATTGCGTTAGGACATTGCCGACCGAACTAAATTCTTGTTCCACGGCAACTGTTGAAACCGGCATTGATAGCACTTGCTTAGCCATCTTTGCTAAAATCGGGAACATTCTTTTTTTTTCCTTCCACCAGTTTAGAACGTGAAAATCATCATCTTCTTCAAAATCAACATCATATGTTAAATATAAAGAAATCTCATTAATTGTGCTTTGTTGAGTAGCGGGAGTTTTTTTAGTTTTTTTAGTAAGATTGGCAAATGTAGATTTCAAAATTGATTTTCCTTTAGATGAAGATGTTTGTGTCAGAGGAGGGGACGTGTTGCCATATTATGCATGAAACTCATTAAATAATGCATAAAATATATCACTAACCTCGTTGTATTTTTTTTTCCGGATCAATTGCGTTATCGTCATACATTGGAAGAGGACCATAAAAAGCGGCATAATAATAGTTCAAACATTCTTCTAAAGAACCAAGTCTAAAATGAGGATCGAGAACAAATGCAATACCATAAATATGCAGAATATGTGCATAATATTTTTTAAAAAAAATCCTTCATAAAGTCAGCAAAACAACTCACATAAGCGGCATTCTCAAATTTCGCAAAAGCACCGGCGAGGTTAACAGCTTCACGAATAAATTGGTTTGATGTAGGTTTATAAACATGACTAAAAGTTTCAGTTGCATTAAAAAAAATCAAAGCATTACAAATTTTTTCGCAAGTGTCGATATCAGCCGAGTTTATAATATACTCATCATATTGTTTTAAAAAAGCAGAAATGTTCTTTATATCTAAGAAGAACTGTCATTAACTTATAAGTACTATTCCAACGAATAGACAAATCTTTAGGAAAATCACATATTTCACACCTCTTTCTATTAAATAATCATGCCATTTTTTTCTAAGTCGACCACTACCCCAAATACGTCTAATCCCCCCTTGACTACCTCCATAGAATCTCCTAACGCTTTTAGACCATCTTGCACACATAAATTTAGAACATGACATGCACATCGTTGATGAAAAAATCTACCCATCAAAGAAGTAGCATCACACAATTCACGCAATCTAGGAATAGCAGCAGTATTATTAGTAGCATTATCAAAACCAATAGCAAACACCTTCATTCAAAAACCAATATAAAACTACACCCGGTCCCGGACCGTCAGACCGGGCCGGGTGGCCCGAACCGAATCCACCCTAGTGGGTCTTGGTGCCAAGCACCTATAAGAGCGGGCCTCCTAAAAGACTGTCTGGTTTTGTTGATCGCTTTGTGTGTATTTTTGTGTGTTTTCATGTTGTTTTGTGTGTAGTGCCGTAAATTAATACAATGTGGGTAGCCTAACTTATCTGGGTAATTAATGACATTTATATAGGTAAATACTACGGAGTACTAATGAAGTACATTAATTTGATTTATGTTTAAATTTCTGTCAAGTTCAATTGTTAAAATTGAGAATTTCTATGAAGTCTTAATTTATTAATTACTTTAATAACAAATGCTATACTGATATTGCTAAGTAATTAAATTTAGGAACTTGCAGGGGCGGAGTCAAAACACTGGGTCGGACTGGACCGGTACAAAGAATATTTTTAGAAAAAAAATTACACAAAATTTTTTACCTTAAAAATTAAGCCATTTTTAAAATTTGGGATGGACCATGGCCTAGGTTGGCCCACCCCTAGATCCGCCCATGGGAACTTGTCAATCGAACTAAATATCACAATGTATATTCTGTTAGTACCCAATTTTGATATATTTTGATGATGCCACTATACTTAGCACGTGTACATTGTGTCTCAATGTTATTCTTATGTTATCATTCAAAATTATGTGACAAAATAAAATGTACAATTTTTTAGTCTAATTAAATATTACCGGAAAAGTTAAAATTCAATAAGATAATGTTTATTTACCTTAATAGGATATTTAGATCCTACCGGCATATATTATTTAGCTCAAAGATTAATTAAAAGTCACGAAAAGAAAATAGGCTCGAAAATCATATACATTGAATGTATATGATTGAAGACAAAATTTGACATGTATTTAATAAGAGAATAGTACTGGGGTCCGGAGCATTGAAGCGCAAACATGGGACTGCTTTTGAAATGATATTTCAGCGGCTGAAGACAAAGGAAATCACCAGAAAATCAGCTTCAGCACAAGAAGACAAATAAAACAACTCGTCCCTGTCCAATATTCAACGAAAGAGATTAAATCATCCTAACCAACAGATGGGATTAATCCACAGGAGAAGCCTATAAATATAGGCTGAAACGAATGTTTCTAACCAAGCTTGAGCATCCTAAGTAGAGAAATACTTCACTAAGCATTCACGGGATATCTAGCAAAAGAGAAAGTGCAATTCTATACTCTACTCTTTACTTAGACTCGTGCTTCACTAAACTTCTTAGTATCAAGTGATAATTGTTAAATCCTAGAAGTTTAGTTCCTAGTTGGAGGTTAGAACTTTCTTGTAATCAAATCACAAATTGTTGTAAACACTTAGGAGAACAGTTGTTTGGATCCTACAGTGTGGTGAGATAGATAGAGTACCTTTTGATCCCCACTGGATCATTTGAGAAAAGTCTAAGGACTGAGTAACTTTGAGTGGTGTTATACTCGTTGTGAAAAACCTTCAATCTAGGCCTAAATGTTTTAAAGGCTAGATTGGCACTAAGTGTATTGGGTTTAATACTTTAGTGAAATCCATCTGAAATAGGGTGAGACTGGACGTAGGAGGGTTACACCACCTCCGAACCAGGATATACCGTGTGTTGATTTATTTTCAGTCAACAAAGCACACACCAAACACCTCTCATAAAAGAGTGTAGATTGCCAGGAGCATCCTAAGCAGTAGTCTTAATTGACCCTACTGCTTATCCTACTGTTTAATAACTCACTATCTTTGAGACACAAGAGCCTTGCAATATCATCACTATAAGGTCTGTTTCATCAGACTTCAGGAAATCCTACTTAAAGCATAGCAGTTGCCTCGGCAGTCCCCTGGTGACTACCCAACTGCTGAGCCCACTGCTCACACAAAAGTATTTCCTTTGAACATCTAAACTTCCCCAGACCTTCACAACAATCTCACCAAGGAGTCTGGTTAAACTGATCTCTTAACCTTAAGCTGAAATCCAGCAGGCGCCTCAGCAGTTCCCTCACTATCACCCAACTGACGAGACCACTGCTACAGTAAAACTCCCATTTACTCTTACTAAAGCACATCCTTAGAAAGCCCTCATCACCCTGAGCAACACTATATAATCAATCTTCTCATACCTTCACTTTTACTTAAGCAGGTGCCTCAGCAGTTCCATGGTTACTACTCAACTGTTGAGACCACTGCTCTCATTAAGATTGATTATCAATATACCTTGTCACATCTTCAGAAAGCTCTTCTCTTTCTAAGAAAGATTCTGCTTACATTTTCATCACACAATTAATTTTCCTCAGCGGTTGCCTCAACAGTTCACTCCCATCCAGTCAACTGCCAAGCCAACTGCTCACTACATAAAGTCCAAATTTCATCCATCATAGAAAGTTATTATACACTATTTATCTAAGAGGCTAAAGACTTCCGTTGTGCATCTATAAATCTACCAAAAGATTATAGATCAACTCATCTAGAAGGGAAAAGTTTTTAAAGTTGAAAAAACTTTTAAAGTCTATTCACCCCCCCCCCCCCCTAGACTTTTACCTCTATCCGGGACCATCATATTCCTTCTTAGAATTGTCTCCACAAATTAAGGTTTATGTTGAATGAGAGTATGAGACTATATATTAATCCTACAAGACTATAAGGCTAAGTATGAGTCTCCCGATGTGTTCAAATATTATTTTGTATCCTCACCTCCAAAATATTATTATGTGTCACTCTTTCACCATAATCTGTCTCACACAAATTGACACCTTTTCATCCTTGTGTTTACCAATATTTTTTCCACATTACTCACGCACAACAATACCCTCAATTCAACAATAATTTTTCATCCTTACATTCAACGGTTCTCCCATAATAGTTAGATGTTAGTATAGATGCAATTATACATTATTTCGAATAGACTTTTTATGTCAATTAGCAGTTGTTAATCCACTTTGTTATACTTAATTGTTTTATAATATTTCGTGAATTATATTTTGCTAATAAACTTAGTTACATTACATAGTTGTTGCTGATTTTTTTTGGTAGAAACATAGGAGCATTAGCTCCTACCTATTATTAACGATCAAACGAGGCTGGGAAATCCCAAGCAAAGTCATACAGAATGTGTAACGATAATCTAGAATCAACATTAGAAATAGAATGAACACCAATAGGTAATCTATGGCTTAGGCTAGCTAAAAAGTCTGTTGCGCGGTTACCCTCTCGATAAACATGCTCAACACTGACCGTCCTATTTCGATTTAAAAGCTCGCGAAATTGTGCAACCTCAGAAGAATGTTGGTGAGCACGCTCACCTTCTTCCATCAAAAGATGAATAGCTGCATGTGAGTCCAACTGCACTTGTACCTGGCGATAGCCAAACTCCTAAGTAAAATGTAATCCTTGTACAACAGCTCTCATTTCAGCCCTGGTTATCGAGCAAAATACCCAGGTTCATCGAGTACGCTGCTAAGCAACGGCCATCAGAATCACGGAACAACCCTCCTGCAGGTGCTCGTCTAGTCTTAGGAATAACTGACCCGTCAGAATTTAGAGACACTCACGCGGGTGTCGACGGCAGCCAAGAGACATCAACCATCATTTTGGTTGGTAGACCGGTATGTGTTGATTGGTCAAGTATCAAAGCCTCTTCAATAGACTCAACCCAATGTCGGATACGCTGAGCAAAAGACTCAGGGGTGGTGCAGATATCAGTAAAAATAACCTCATTTATGGCCTTCTAGAGAGACCAGCAGGCAACCCCAAAAAGAAGACTATTGCTCGTTGCCTTCAGGTGGTGAGTGATCCAAGGAAGAAGTGGGGACTCCCGGTTCGTTCGATCAGCAACAAGATAGCCAAGACGCTCCCAAGTGGTAATCGCAAAAGGACACTCTCGTGGCACATGCATAACTGTTTCCTGGTGTTGATTACAGTGTGAACAAACGCCCTCTGTTGCCATATGTCTACGTCTTCTTTCTTCATTAGTTAATAGCCGGTTGTGCACCATGATCCAAAAAAATGTCTAATACGATTGGGGCCACGCCAACGCCAAACCTCTCTCCAGTTCGGTTCTTCTTCTCTGTTAACCTGGCCACCAAGTAGGGCGTCTGCTGACCGAACTCTGAAGCGGCCATCCTTTTCACAACCCCAAACAAGAACATCATCTCCACTGCCAGGGCGAGGGGGGACATACCTGCAATATGGAACACCGGATTTTTTGGGATCAAGGAACGAAGAAGTGGGGAAATCTCACTCACCAGAAATTGTGCAGAACTGTGACACGGGGCGGAGAAGTCTGGTTCTAGAGCAAAAGGAAGAATATGGTTGGAGGAGTATTATATACTATAACACAAGAGTATTTTCCAAAATTAATGTTAATAGATGCAGATCAATTTTATTAACAGGGACATGAGAACAATGTTGATAGCAATTTTGTTTATTAGAATTTTCTAGATATGAAAAAATATATTAATAAAATATCCCCAATATAGCAATATTATATATATATTAAATATTTATAAAATTTTACTAACAATTTTTAAATATTTATTAGTAACATTACTAATAGAACTCTAAAATAACCGCACATGAGATTAGCATATGAGTTTTTGTTATGTAAATTACTCTTGAATTTTGTAATGCGATCTTCATTTGTTTTGGGCTGTTTGACTATTACATTTTATTATTTATGAAATATACACCTTGGTTATCTTTCATAAAAAAAGAGAATATTGATGTTGATAATATGGAATGTATGAAACTACTACATAATGCCTCTTAAATGAGCACAATCAATCTACAAAAGTAGTTGATGCATATTTTCAAGATTTATAATCTTATAATTAATCACATACTATCGTATAATATATGTTCCCACATGGATGATTCGTGTTGTTTTGATATGGACGCTATTATTATCGAAAAATATGTTGTCAACTAGATTGAGACAAAACAGGGGTACTAACTTAAATGCACTCACACACTCACATGTACTCCACATGCACACACTAAATTATACATGTACACTATATTTAGTATGTACACTATTATTATATATCTAATATAGTGCATACACTATATTATATTTACTACATCCATTTGAAATTGGATTTTGAATTTTAAAAGTGGCACTTCAATTTAATTGGGTTGGGAAGTTGAAATGGTCTTTATAAACCTTTCGTGTGTATTGGAGTAGCGCATGAATGAGCTAGCTTAGAGTATCTTCATTCATGATACTCAAGTTTACGGTTTTTATGACTTCTTATTGTCATATCACTTCTATATAAGATAATCTCAAATAATCTCCAAACCTATCAAATTCTCTTCATTCATGATATTAACTTACCTAGATTTTTTTACAAAGCTGGTTATTATTAGTTGCCTAGAAAATGGGAAGAGGGGTCTAAAAGTTGTGAATGATCTCAAAATAATCCAGATTTAGAATTTGATATCAGATTATTTTATAAAATAATCTCATAAAATAATCTCAACTCAAATCCAAAAAAAATCTTCCACATCATCAAAATGATCCCAAAAATAATTTATGGATGGGGATACCCTTAGTTACGAGTATGCCTAAAAATCGGGAGAAGAGCCTAAAAAAGTTGTAAATAATCGTTCAAATAATCCAGTTTTAGAATTTGATACCAGATTTTTTTATCAAATAATCCCAACACATCTCAATCATAAGCTTACAAATATTATCCACATCATCACAATAATCCCCAAATAATCGTATGGATGAGGATACCCTTAGATATAAGAAGATTAGCGAGTAGACACATAGGATTAGGTAAAGTCCACTATACCACCCCCAGACATGGAAGACATTAATTACATGCAATGCAGACTCCTATAAATTAAAGGGATGTGATTTTGGAGACTTGCCAGAAATCCCCCGTTAGAATAACAGGCAAGGTGCGGGTGCTATTATTTGACAATGAGAGGGGTTGTATTACCTTAAACGTTAAAGTATTAGAAACCAGGATTGATGGCACATTTCTGTTTTACTAATATAATCAAATTTCTTTTCTATCATCATCATTATCATTACCCCAGTGCCGCAAAGGCTCCCGCCTACAGCCTACAGTGAGGTAGGGGATCGGATGTACGCAGTCTTACCCTTGTACTAAAGCACAGAGAGACTGTTTCCGGATGACCCATAGTGAAAATCGCGTCAAAAATTGCATGGACCGATTGTTACTTCATAACAAAGAAGGACAGACAGTTTAGTGAGCTCATTTGCTTTATTCCATCATATTCCCAAACCTCCATTCATTTGCTTTGTTTTTCTATCTTCTTTGTTTCTTGGAATGACATGTGGTATACTTCTAATCCCTCAATTGAAGCCATATATCAGTCCATGACTTGAAGTTGGAAGGTTTGTGTTTTGCAGGGAGTCCAAAAATAGTTGCGTAAAGCTTGTCCAAATATTTGCAGCCCCAGTTGAAAAAACAGCTTGCTCCCATTCATCTCGATGAGACTATAAAGTTTGAAGTTCTTAAAGAGTTTTAGTCCTGAACGTCTTGGATTCGGTTATTGGTTCAGGAATTGCTGACAATGTGACTTATATATCCCGGACTGTCATCTTTTAAAAGTTTCAAACTAGATATCCTTTTTGTGATTGAGAAAACAAATGTAGGATGACCACAGAGAACTATTAGTAGCACAATAGTAGAGCCTGATGAAATATGGAGCATTATTGAAAGTAGCCTGATACTAAAAGGAATTACATGACCATAGAGAACTATTAGTATGACATCAAAGTAGCAACTAAATGTAATTTTATCCATTAATTAATATTGATATCTACGTTTAAAGAACCCGGTCGAGAGATGACCCAAAAAAGTTACTAGATCAAGGGTCAACTCGGACTCAGAGGCTCAACTCAATCAACCGGATTGACCCTTGACTTAGTAACTTTTTTGGTCACCTTTCGGTCCGGTTCTTTAAACATACATATCAATGTGGTGATTAATTAAGGGATAAAATTGTGATTTTTTTCAAGAAAAAAGAGTTTACTCCTATTGGATTCTTTATTGTGAAGTCTTTCCGGTAACAATTTTCAATCAAGGAAAAACGTGTCTTCTTGACTGAGCTAATCGTGACTCTTCATTTTCTCAGGCTAAACTCAGCCATCGCGAAACATGAATTCTCTCTCTAGAAATCTATAGTACTAGTATTATCTAAATATTCCAACCCTAAAACTCTCTTCAACCTCAGCGAACCCAAAGTAATTCTTAGAACTGTAATTGCTTCATGGGATCGAGAGATTCGTCACAGCTGCTGGCGCCAGGTTTCCGGTTCCACCCGACCGATGAGGAGCTGGTCGTCTATTATCTGCAGCGCAAGATCCGCTCTCAGCCACTCCGCGTCGATTGCATCTCCGAAATCGATATTTACAAGGTCGAGCCATGGGACCTTCCAGGTACAGCCCTCTGAACCTTCTTCATACCTTTCCCTTCACACCCACACGCGATTGAGACTCTTGGGGAACTCTGTGTTGCTCAAATCCATTGCCTTTAATTTCAGGAGTCGTGATCTCAATTATACTCTTAGAGTTCGAGAGGGGTTGAGGAATAATTGATTGAAACGTTGATGAACTTACGATATAGATGTATGCCTTTCCAATTTGAGGTTTTATCAAATATGAAGTTAGAAAGTGATGTGGTAGTGTCCGTTCTTATTCATGTCAAGTAGAATGTCAACATTTTTAAGTTCATCACTTCAGCTTACAAACATGACCAAGATATTTGGTTTGGAGTAAGTTGTCAAATTATAATTATAATAATAGGAATTTGGATGTAATTGCATCAGGCATGTCAAGGCTAAAGACCAGAGATCTTGAGTGGTACTTTTTCAGTATGCTTGATAAGAAGTATGGTAACGGTGCAAGGACTAATCGAGCAACTGAAAAAGGCTATTGGAAGACCACTGGAAAGGACAGATCAGTTTATCACAGTTCCCGGGTGGTAGGGATGAAGAAGACTCTTGTGTATCATATTGGTCGGGCTCCAAAAGGGCAGAGGACTAATTGGGTGATGCATGAGTACAGGCGTGTCGATGAGAAGTCAATTAAATCTGGAATTGTTCAGGTTTCCACTAAATTCATTTGTGATTATTCTTTTCTCAATGGTCCAAGTTTGTTACTCAAAACTATGCCATCTCTTTGAACAATTTACAAGTTTTCAAAATAAATAAGGAGGAAAAAGGTCCTTATGTATATTCTAACTTACTAAATCTATTATTGATACTGCTCTGTAAGGCTATGAAGCACGGAAACTCTAGGATAAGAGTATGTTTCCGTTTCTGAAACTCTACGGAAACTCTTTGGAAACTGATTAACTGACAAACATTCCATGATTCTAACGTTTCCGTGCAACATAGCTGTAAGGTTTGCCTCCTCTTTCTCGTTATTGATTTATTTATTAATTATTCATTTATTTTTTGTGTGGAGAAGGATGCATTTGTGTTGTGCAGAGTATTTCAAAAAAGTGGGTCAGGGCCGAAGAATGGAGAACAGTATGGAGCACCTTTTGTTGCGGAAGAATGGGAGGTGGATGAGTCAGGAACAGTCCCCAAGGCAGAATTAGCTGAGCAATTAGGATTTTTAGATGATATATGTTTGGATGGGGATGAACTTGAGCAGGTCTGAGTTATTCTATAGCTACATCTCATATTTACTTTTGCTATGGTGAAGTTTTTTTGTATGAGCACATGTGCTGTTCTTCATGCTATAAATGCATCTCAACCCACAAATTAGATTTGTATCATAGAATGTGCAATTTGTAGTCGGTTCGCACTGCAGAAAGCTGTGCATAATTCATCCGTTTTCTAGGTCACGATACCTCTCTCTTAAATTGAATTTGCCTGGTTGTTATCTTAGATAATATTCTACTACTCGCCTACAACATAAAAGGTGAACTCTCAAATTGGCCCAGCAACTATGTAAAATCTCGCAATTGTGGGCCCCTGGCCCTGCATTATAGAAACACCCAATGACACACATTTAACTAATACTCCGTAACAATACACACTTCCTCTGTTTTGGATGTTAACATCTGATTATCTGGTTACTTTTGCCAAGACGACTACTATTTGTCCATTCACCCTCTGTTTTTTGGCGCTTATATGACGTTCATATCATTGTCTTCTAGAATTATGTTACCCCGTATTATTTATTGCCTTTTCTTTTTTTCTTTGTTATACTTTTCCCTCTTCTTTTCTCTCTCCTGGCCTTGGCCTCGGATTCCTTCTAGATTTGTCTCTCTTCAATTATCAAGAGGAGATGCACAATGCACATTGCTCTTCTTACATCAACTTCAAAACATAGCTATAAGCTCAATATATTCTATTGCTTTATTTAGGCAGAGACCTAATTTATAGATTAGAGATGGTAGGAACACCTATTTCACAGTTTTCCCTATATGACATGAAACAAACCAAATGAATGATTGTATAATTGTACTGTGGTGTAAATGGTAAGTATTTAACATAGAGCAGTCCTACTTTGGAGATAGCAGGTGAGCCTATTTTAACAGTTTTTTGAATCTGATATGAAACACACCAAGCACATAATTGCATACTTGTATTCTGGTGTAAACTGTAAGTATTCCACATGGTGCAGGCCTATTTCTGTTACTGGCTATATAAGTATTTAACATAGTTGGCATCTTCTCTGGCCTATATACTGGTGCAAATTTGTTACGCAGACCTCAGAGAAAAGCCACCTACTTAAACTTTTTAAAAGTCTGCAACATAACTGATATTTACTAATGAAAAAAGTGAAATAATGACTTAGACCAAATAATAGGAGGTAACTTTGTGAGTTTCAGATAAATACAAATGAAGTCCCTCAGATGATTGACATTGTTATGTATTTGGGGACTATCTGCCATAAATTTTGCCTCTCAATTGTTATAATTTAGAACAAGTAGACATGTAGTCCTTTGTTGAAATCACCCTGTGGTATAGTAGTTTATGCCTTTATGGAGGCCATTCTTAGCATAACAAGTAGACATATAGTCCTTAAAAGTATTGAATGTCAAGGTCCACAATCCCTAATCTTTGGCAGTTTAAGCAATGACAGTACTGAGCATGTGCATATACACAAATAGTAATCATTGAGAAATTTAAAATGTCTGATAATTTTTCCTTTTCCATGATAATTTAATCATGGACCGTGTATTTATTTTGGTTGTGCATCTAAATATTACCAGATTCTTGAGGCAGACACTCCCTCAGAAGGTGCTATGGTTTCTCTGAACAACGTTACTGAAGACATTGAGGACAAGGCCGGACATTCTGAGGAGTTCCAGAATACCACGGTGAATGATGTTGAATATCCTTGTGGACCTGATGAACAGAGGTCCTTTGATCAGCCAATTGACAATTTTGAGCCTAACTCTGCTGTCAAGCATGAATACATGGGTGAATCTAGCAATGGCATGGCCCCTGACAGTGTGGATTACATACTTAATGAACCACTTGTGGAGACCAGCGACCAATTTCTGTTTAATGATGGGACATTTCTTGAAACCAATGATCTTTCAAATCCCGTGGATACAGATGCTACAGGTTTTGACATGCTTGAGGAATACCTTAATTTCTATGACGCCACTGATGGTTTCCAGGACATGCTGTTTGATCCTGCAATGTTGATAGGGAGTGATGGGTTTCATGGAGAACCACCATCTTTGGTTAATAAGGTAAACTTACCATTAAAATTTTATGAAAAATTACATCTGTACCCACTAGATTTAGTTAATTTACCAAATAACCCTCAAGGTTTTTTTGAATTACAAATAAGCCCCATCACTATTGAGCATTTCACATTAATTTACCCTCTATGTTTGTCTTGGAGATCTTTTCAAGAGAAGGATTCTAATAACTTAAATCAGCCAAAGTCGAAGATGCACGTTTCTGGTTGATATCATCAGATTCCATAATTTGTCAGTGTTAGAAATGTTGTTTGGGGAAAATGCAAACCAAGGGGCTTGTTTTAATTTTCATAAATCTCCACGGTGTTTTGGTTTTTTTATTAACTCTAGGAGAGGTAGTTGTAATTAACTCAAAAATTTGTCTTGCTTTTTAGCATTTCGTCTTGCTAGGATTTGCTGTACAAATTTGTTTTTTCTCACAGGATGCATGTGAAGCAGATGAAATTGCTATTTCACCCATTGGTGTTGAAGATAATAAGACTTCTGATATTCCATCATCATCAAAGCCGGTGATCACCAAATTTGGGTCAGGTAGGATTCAAGTGTTGATTATCTTGAGTGCTTTGGCAATAAGAAGCTGATTACATAAATGATTACCTCTGTCCATTTTGGCCCACAATGTTCTTTACTCCAAAAGTTTGTTAAAATGAAGAAAATTGTTGTAGCTTGAAAGCTATAGGCTTGAAACGAATTAAAAGCCACAATACTAAAAAGATGACTCGAAAATTCAGCACCCAGATTTTGACAAAACTATTAGTTATGTAGTTCAAAATATTTTTTGTATAATTAGTTTGTAGTTTGTACAACACCCTTGTACAAACGCGCCTACATTCACAGCACCAGACATGCCTACATTATATCATATGTAGTATATAACATTATTGCCCATGCAAGCTTTTATGCAAATGCCAATACTTTTTTTATTAAGTTCTCCATCACCTTGAGTTTTTTGGTAGAGTTGCTGTGGTGATGTTTGGTTCTGACTTCTGAAACAAGTAAATAAAAACCAAATACTCCCTCAGCCCCGCTATAATTGTTCCATTTTTCCATTTTTGGATGCCCCCTATTATTGTCCCATATTTGGTAACATTTGTGTGGCTCGAATTCATTCTTACTTTATTCCCACTTTATCAACCACTTTTTTTTTGTATTTCAACCACATAATTCTACTTTTCTTAAAAACACACCACTCTGACTTCCGTCCCAATATTAGGGGGATGGAGGTAGTAATAAGTAGAATCAGTCATTTAATCGATCGTCTTCCTAATGATGATGTTGTTGCATGCAGACTACCAACATCCATTTATGAAGCAGGCAAGTCAAATGTTGGGCAACATCCCTGCACCTCCGGCATTTGCATCAGAATATCCTAAAGATATTGCTGCACGCCTCGGCGCAGCAGCAGCTCAAGCATCAAGCTCATCGGTTCACGTTACTGCTGGTTTGATACAAATAAGAGACCTCACCCTCCTCGGCAGTGGCGGTGGAGGAAAACTGCAGCATTCTGGACGGAATTACAATATTGTCCTTTCTTTTGGCAGCTTGATGGAATCATCATTTGATCATCACCATGGGAAGTGTCTGCTGTCAGCTGCTACTGGGGGTTGGCTATTCTCCTTCTTCTTTTGGGTTCTAATGCTGCTTTCCCTTTCCTTCAAGATTGGGACCTTCATCTCTGCACGGTAATGTAACTATGTATTTACTGCTTGGCAGAAGCAGCTGCCGTCTTTCCGTGGGTGGATGTTGGGGTATTTGATTAAACTGTACCCTAGGATATACTTCGTTTTTACTGCCTACTTTTGTTTACTCTGCCTGGCTGACTGGTGATGAACATATGATTTAAGCTTTTCTCGGCATCCACTGATAGATGATGTGATTAATAGACAATAAAGTTTGTAGTATAGAACTCAGCTCGTTCTATTATTTCAATTTTTCCCTTTGGAGTTCGGACTGATTAGTTTAATCACTGGTGGATTGCTACAATAATTACACTTCGTTTGATGCTTATTTTTTTAGAATGTCTCTCCCCCCAAATCATCTTGGTCGGCACTGTAAGATTATTAATGCACCTGTTCCAGGTCCATATTTGAATATAATAGTATTATTATGTGTGCATCAGTGCATGTGTGTGAAATAATCCTCCTTTACTACTACATTTTGCTATTTTAGTATATATGTACTCATTATATGTACTCATTAGGTCTGATAAGTAGTCCACGGCATGTAACCCGATCGGTTATATAAAACATTACTTTAAATATTCATTTAAAATATTGATTGCATAAGTTTATATACTATGTATAAAACAGTTGGTAAGTTATATTTTCAAATGTAAAGAGCCACGATGTGATAACCCTAGGCACTGTGGGTATCCATCGATCATTGACTGAAATAGGCTTTTTTGGGAACTTTTTGTCCTCTTTGGAGTGTGTGGTTTGCTTCATGTTTTGTTTTGCCAGTGCTGTAAGCTATTATTCAGCCTAGCCTGGTCGGAGATCTTTTGGTCAATGTTTTCTCATTTCCTAATAATCCAATTTGATTGTTCTTTTGTTGTTATTGTGTTTGTGTTATTATATTGTGGCTCTCTTGGGCGTTTATGCTCCGGTATGGTTTCTACCTCGGTGTGGGAGGGGTTTAGGTGTCCACGCCAGTTATCCCTGGTTATTGGTTTGTTTGTCTTTCATGGGCTATATTAGGTGCATCAAGATTGTTTTCGAGTCCATATATTTTTGCAACTATTAAGAACGAAGCGGGAAGAGAAGGTTGTTGTTCATTTATATTGTAGTAGTTTGCCCTCATTTGGCATTTTGGCGGAATTACCTCTGTATCAGGAATATATTTGTGAAAATGTTTTATTTCAGTATTATTTTTCTTTAGTAGTATTTATTTTTTATTTTAGTTCATGTTGGTATAGTTGGGATATTTTGTTATTTGGAGAATCTTTGATAGACAGTGTTTCATTTTTGGTGATTTTAGGCTTAAAATTGTTCTTTTTGTGTTTGGTGAGTCAGGTAGCTTTGTATGGGGTGACTAACTCGATGTCTATTCTTAAGACTTAGGATCAGATTTGTAATACCTGTTTGGAGATAGTTTAATATAAATCGTTTACTATAAAAAAACTTTCATATATGTTTGTAATACTTTTTCTTATTGAGAGGTTTTACTATTGAAAGTTAATAATTTTAAGGGATTATATCAATCTAGGACTTGAAAGATAGACAAATTATCAATTCGGAACTTGAAAGATGAAATGTATCAGTATAGGACCCGAAAGATGAAAAACTGTCAATCTAGGACTTAACATTTCATAGGTTTTGATTTATTTAATTTTTTATTAATTCCATTGCTAATATTTGATGAAATTTTCTTCACAAAAGTTTATTAGTTTAATAAATTAAATATTTTTTAAATTTTTTAAAATAAAAAAAATAATAAAATTTATGAAAAATTAGGTCTTAAATTGATAGTTTCAATCATTCGGGTCCTAGATTGATAGTTTTCCATCATTCGGGTCCTAGATTGATAGTTTTCCATCATTCGGGTCCTACACTAATACATTTCATCTTTCAGGTCTCGAATCGGTAGTTCGTCCATCTTTCAAGTCCCGGATTGATAAAATTCTTAATTTTTAAGGTATTAATTTTAGATAAAAGTGCTAGTGTTTTAAGTTTGCACAGATTGTGTTTACTTTAAACTTGCTGAATAATCAATAATGTACTACAAGGTATTTTGTGGTTTTTAAGAAGAAAGGAAGTAGGAAAAATGTATATGGGGCAATTTATACCGTACACCCGGATGTACATATATGTCTGGTATTTTTACAATTATTTCTAATTTGAAGGGCTATATCTGATCCTTGCTTCTTCTGTCTGCATCCTCTCTTGTGCATGTCGACTGCAATGCGCCTATGTAGAGTTGTGGACTATAGTCTATAGTGCTTCGTCTGTAGTTCTTTTTTCTTAACGTTCTTTTGCTTTGTACGTAGTTTCTCTTTTTTAAGAGAATATTACCCGAAATAGGACTAAAACAGTTTGAAAATTCCAAAATAGGACTAATTACTAATATGTTTTGGTAGTACCAGACTTCAAACATGGTAGTATTTTCTAAACATGACAGTAATTAGTCCTATTTTGAGAATAAAATACACGGCAGACCTATTTTGGAATATTGAAAGTGTTTTGGTCCTATTTTGGGAACTTTCCCCTTTTTTAATTCTCTTTCCTTTTTTCTTAATCACCTTTTCCATTGATTTCAATTTATAATGAATATTTAATGTGTTAATGTTTTATTTTTCTAATTTTAATTAGCGTATTTATTTTGTGCTAATTACTAACATGAGTTTTGTGTTATACTGAAATGAGTAAAGTGTAAAATAAATATGCTTGAGTAAACATTATAAAAAGAACCCGATTATATTTGAAAATTCCAGAATGACAGACTATAAGTTATTTTTAAATTTAAAATTACTATTTATCATTACTATATTTGTCAATATAATATATGTGCACAAATGAACATTTAAACACAATATAGAATTCAAACGAGCTTTTGAATTTTTTGATACTCATTTTGCAAGTTATGTATGTTAATCGGGTACTAGTTTATGCTCATTTTAAAATGACATATTAATGCATATTTCAAAAGTATCATATTAGATTCGCATAAGAGTTACTCCGTACATTATATACATGGGAACAAAGAATATGATACACAGTTGCAAGCTTCTGATATTCAATAGAAGAGGTTTAATGTTCAATGAAAATGTCTTACTCAACTAACTATGGTTATTATTTTCATATCATTGCTCATTTAGTAAGTTATGTATACTCATTTGGTAATTGTGTTATACTCATTTTAAATTGTTGTATCAATGCATATTTCAAAAGTATCATTTTACATTAGATTGACGTAGGAATTGATTATAGTCTATAGATACTAGAGCTCATACCATGATACTCAATTACAGAGTTTCGATGTTCAATAGAGGAAAGTTGATCAATGAAAACTTCTTCATGCTCAAAGAAATGTCTTGATGCGTATCCAAAAGTTTAATATAAAATTAGATTCGTATATTGGAATCCATAGGAGTCTATTATAGATATAATTTTAAAAAATTATATAAAATTAAAAAATAAGAAAAAGAAAGTGAATCTGCTTAATATTGGAATTCTAATACTCAACCGAATAGGTCTAATGCTCATTAAAAGTTCATTAATGCTCATTTAACAAAAACCGTGATTCTCATCTCAATTCAAATATCATGATGTTCAGCTAACAAACCTTACGATTTTCATATCAATGTGCACTTTGTAAGTTATGTATGCTCATTTGGTACTTATATTATGCTCATTTTTAAAATGTCATATCAATGCATATTTCAAAAGTATCATATTACGTTAGATTCGTATATTGAAATTAATAGGAGTGGATTATTATTAATATAATTTAATAAGTTTTTATAAAAACAAAAATAAGAAAAAGAACAAAATTTAGAAGATATGAAGTTGAGATCGTGATACTCATTGTTAGCCTCTTAATACTCAATAAAATGGGTTGGATGCTCACTAAACGTACAATATTGCTCATTTAGCGGAAGCCGTGATTTTTCGTCTAAATTACAAAAATGCCACCGAATTTTTTTGCCTATATTAGTTGTTGGGCTGTCTTGCTTAGTTTGGCCGGGTGTACATACACCCATATGTATGATATAGGAGCTGTGTGTATGGTGTAGCCGTGTAGGATACAAATCTATGGAAACAACATACCTGTATTTAGAATACTAAATAAATACAAAATATGTGGCAACATGTGGTGAAATTGTGAAAATATGTGGCAAAAATACATCTTGAGCAATCACATATGTGGCAACATCAATAATATATATTAGTGACATACAAATCTAGTGATAACATAAAAATATGGCAGTAACAGGAATTCGATAATTACATCATTTTTTATAAATCTATTACTCTTGAAAATAAGCTTCAATTAGTCATTTTAGGAAAAACCCTAGAGGTGGACATATTGGTTTGATTTAACTGAATCGTATCAAACCGGACTAACCTGAACCAAAGCCAAACTAAATCAAAAGCAAGAAAATCGAATGAAATCGAACTGTACTAAAGAAAATTAATAACCTTCATATTCATTAAAAAGTATCAAGTCCGAACTAAGCTAAAACTAAAACTAATCAAATCGAAGGTCATCATTGCAGCTAGGGATGGACCGGTTCTGGTTCAGGCCCGGCCGGGCCTCGGTTCATGAAGGGGAGGCCCGGAACCGGCCCAGGTAACACCCGGGTCCGGGCCGGGCCGGGCCGGGCCTCGATTCTATTTTTTTTTTTTTTTGGCTTTTCCTAGTTAACCCCCAACCCTCCCCCTCACCCCCAAACCAACCCTAACCACCTCAAATGGCCCAAAATACCCAGCCCAACCCAAAAACTTAAAAAAATCAAAAAAAAAATTGGTCCGGCCCGGGCCCAAACCGGCCGGGCCGGTTCACCTTTTGAAGTGCCCGAACCGCCATCCCACCGGGTTGGGTGGCCCGAACCGGCCAACCAACCGGTTCACCGGGCCGGGCCGGGTCCGCACAGTAGCGGGCCGGTTGGCCCGGCCCGAGTCCACTCCTACATTCACCTCTAAAACCCCATAAAAGTAACTAACCATATATAAACCTAAAATGTTGACAATTCACAATGTCAACATAATAGTTTTATGGTAACAGATTAAGGTGTATATATAAGTATTTCACTTATATAAATCACAAATATACCATATCATTATTTAAAAACAAAATCATAATATTTAAAAAATCATAAAAAAGAAGTCTTATAACCTTTTTTGGTTAAGAGTTTTTTATTTGCTTGTGATTTGATTTTTATGAATTACATTTTCAGAGTTTCATAGACCCGCCATTACCCTTATCATGATTTTCTATCATGATTTTCTAAATATTATCAAATAAACACTTTTAATCCTTCCACTATGACGGATTGACGGGTACAATAAATGTATGACTAAAAATCAGGGCCGGTTCTCGAGGGCAAGAGGGGCGACCGTGTCACGCCCCGGACCTAGCCGGACACGTCAACAACCCGCCGTACAGTACGAACAGTCAAC